GTCGATCAAGGGTCTGTAGGTCAGCGAATCGGAAACAGCAGCCTCCGAAGTTGCATGAGGTTATAGCAGTGACCACTGAACGAGGAAGCCGGATAACATCGTTGACTATCTACCGCAACTATCCGCCAGACGCAGAACGAAGTGCGGCAAATGATAATATGAAGGGTTGTGGGCTTTTTGCTGAGCTTGTACTACAAAGACTCGAGAGACGGTTGTTCGAAGAATACAAACCCAGATTTTGGGCACGCTACGCTGAAGATACTTTCGTCGTATAGGTATTTTCTATTAGCCTGGGTAATTTATCAATGACTGACGAAGTAGGAAATAACTCAGTCTTTAGTTGGATGATCGATCATATAGCCAAGGAAATTATGGGGAATTAATCAACTATTATATATTAACGTGATAACTGTAGGATTTTAATTTAAGGTAACTGACTTTGAACAATTTGAAATAACTGTATTGAGGTTAAATTTGCACCCATTGCAGCCATCTATTCGATACAAAGAGGTCACAAAGCTATAGTAAGCTATACTGGGTATGAACTCCAGAAATTCCTTTTCGGTGTATTCTCTCATTCTTCTTTTTTTCTGTCATGAGCAAGTGACCTACTAGACCTTTGGTACTGATAGAGCTTCTATTGTGCTATGTTCTTTAATTCAGTAAAAGACAATGGTAAGAGCATTGCTTGTACCTAGTACTTGTGGAGACAGTCCTAAGCATTACGCCTGCCTTTTCTGTCTAAGCAACTGATTTTGTTGAACCTGGAGTCTCAAACAACTCACTCCGAGAGCAAGATTGTGACTTCTACAAAAAATCTGAAAGCACGGTAACAGCAAATTTCCCGTTATAAAAGCTGCAAACGCAAGCAAAATTAACCACAGTATCACAGAAACCGCAAAACACAACATGCTCAACAGCTTTAAAGGTACAATCCTCAACAAATAATTCCCCTGCACTCGCAATTGAATATCTAGTTGAAGAAACAGAATTGTCTGAAAGCCAGTTAAGAGAAGATGGAGTTTCGGGTCAAAGATTGACTTATTTCCACATTTATTTATCCAATAAAAAGTGAATAAGTGATTTCGTAATAACTTCCTACCTTCTATTTTAACTGGTGAATTCCGAAGAATATCAATGTATAACTGGATTAATTAGAGCTGAAGAGTTGCTTAGTATTTGACTGGAAGACCTAGTGTGTAAAGAAGTAAGGCGTACCTTGTGAGCTGTGACAAACTCCATATCATACTCCCAGGGTGATGCCTTGATGACCTCGTCAACGTACCGACAGTGACGTACTGCCTCGTAGCGTTCCACCTCGTTCATCACAGTGCTGCCCTTGCGTCGATGGGTGTCAGCATCACTACAGACTGTGGAAAGATGAAAAAATGTAAAAATATGAAGCCGGGAAGATGCTTAATCGGTTTTACCCCGAAAAAAGAGGAAAAACAAGCAATTGGCCTATTACCGCCTACAGGTGCTGACAGTACACGGTTTATTTGCAGGAAAGTGCGAGAGTTCAAGTGACAAAAAATTAACCTATCAGGAGGTAGGACTGAAAGAAGCGCGCTCTGTCCTCAGTAGTGCACCTGTGGACAAAGCAGGTGCAGAAGTAGAGAACGGTTTGGAGAACTTAGCTTTAGCCCGGTTGATTTCGCTCCTGGTAGCGTGTGCGCACACAAGACTGTATCCAAAAGATTAACTCGAGCGTGACTCCCACAGTTCGCATTTGTTGAAAGCAACTTTTTTTTCATTATAATGCAGTGCACGACTTTAACATTTTGGCGAAAAAAACTGAGAAAAGTGCACCAGCTTAACTGTCATCTTCTTTAACCCAATTTTATCGATGTAAAAACAGAATAAATTGAGCAGGATGACCGACTTGGGTTATGCGCCAGGGCAGAAAAGTCATATGTTATAATTCGATGGACATCAAGCCCAACTAACGGTTCCTAAAAACTGCCAAGTATCTTTCGTGATTGACAGTTCTACGGGCTTTTTTCCGACGCTACTCATCGTGTGTCCCACTGCAGGACGGGCGCAGAGAAAGTGACTGGCACACAATTGGCAACAATGACTTGCTTTGCCGTCTAAACAGGACAAGGGAGCGGGGCCCATCCAAAATAGAAATGATCTGGCACCAAATTCCGGGAAAAATTACGTTTAAGATAAAAGTGAGGGTTAGGAGTGCGGTTTGAAGTTTGAATTAGGATCAGAGTTAGGGTTAGGGTGGGGATTATATCAAGAGCTAAGGTTTGGGTTCGTGTTAACTATAGGGTTTAGGTTTTGACTTGGGCTAGGGTAAAGGTTACTGTTTAGTTTTATGTCGTATTTTGTATTACGAGTTAACACACGGGAATATATACTCCTCTTGAAATTTATCGCAAAGCCACCTATCTAAAAGTGGGCGTGGCATTCCTATTCCCGCGTCTTGTTTAGGCGGCTGTACAAGTTATCCTTTCCGATTAGTTTATAGTGATGGTCGACTTGCGCGGCATCTACTATAAGCCCTCTCCCTCCTGAGCCCGGTTCCATGAAAGAGTAAAGAAGACTGGAGGCAGGTTCAGGTGCAGGAGGCTGACAGAACCCAATTGTCCGACTACGCGTGCCACACACGGCCCGATCCGTGCATGACAGGCCGGGTTTTTACAAAAATAAGAAAAGGGGAGGCTCAGCAATCAATTGAGTGGGAGCACCACGGAGGCCACGCAATAAAGGAGCCCTTAAACCTGACACTTGGTTCAGCAGTCGGTCACCCCACACAAAAGCACTCTGGGTTGACTTCGAGGTCTGAACTGAATCGTCAGATGAGACCGTTTGGCTCCGCTTATCACACTCGCAGTTAACATGCTTGGTTGCGGGTCCATACCCTAACCCCACAGAAGGGGATGGTGTGGCGACGTGCGGATAATCTCACATCAATGATACTATCGGTCATTCTGGACTCAATTTCCTAAGGAGGGCATAGGAGGAACAGGGAAAAACCCCAGAAATGAGACTTTACGGAAAATGCAATTTGATCAAATTATTAGAGCCTCGTAGCTCAGTGGTAGAGCACTGGCTGCGGTGCAAAAGCCTTCTCTGCAGTGTAGGTTCGAATTTCAGCAAGGCTGCGAATTTTTCACAATTGGGTGAACCAAATTGTTAGAGTTCGCCCAGGGCAAAACAAGTAGGCACGCCCGTGCGCAAAGACTTCCAACAGATTTGCACCTGCGCGCAGGAGCACTCATATTCGCCTGGCGAAACTGATAACAAGGAATACAGTGCCGTGCGTAGACTCGATAATTTTCCTTCCTCTAGAAGTTAATTCGTGTTATTATCGGGTTCTGAAACAGGCGGTCGTTATGCGATTTGCTCTCATAGCTTTCTTGATCGATAGGCTTCTTTTTTAATCCATAGGACTTGTTCTTGTAATTTATTTGGTTTATAGGCCTTCTTTGCTAACCAATAGGCGTTGTTCTCATAGGCCTTTTTATTACTGCAACCTTTTTTTTTTATCTACGCTTGATTTCAGTGAATCAATTAAAAGCGGCCTTAATTTATTTTCCACCATGCACATACCACACACTAACTCCTCATTAAACAAGCATTTAACCTTTAACCACGAAGTCCGTGAGAAACTTGGGCTATCCCTATCCCCACGGCCCTCCTCCCCTCCCCTCGTCAATTAATTGTGGCTCAGCGGCACTGGGTAGAAAACCTATACCACCATCACGCCGGCTTTCACAGTTCGTCCTGGAGGGGCGTGTAGAAAAGTAATGGCCCTGGTGTTTGCTACTGTCCGCGGGTGTGGCGAGCTAGCCGGTTGGGAAACCAGTTAAGGTCTATGGCAAGGTACCCTTCCGTTTCTTAGTACCACAAAGGTAAATGCTGTGGCTTTGCGTGAAACGAGTAGAAGGACATAATTTCCAGGAGCAGGTGAGTTGCGGGCATTTTTTGGGTGACAGCACAAGCACATTGGCCCAAGTAGTGAATTGTGCATGAAGTACCCGCATTTAAAGCGCCCTCATCCAGACCTGGAGGACTGTTTGATAGAGCCGTGAGCGGGTTTTTTGTGCGCAAAAGTGCAAGAAAATAATAGCTCAAGGGTGTACGCAAATCGCATTTCTATCTCTACCCATCACCTCAGGCTGGTAGCAGTCCTACTCACGGCAAAATCCAATTGATCACTCCAAAGTGGACGGATGCTGTTCAGCTAGCCAACTGTAGGCGCTCAAGCACCAGCCAACTTGATGAAGCTGATGTACTCATTCACAGGCGCACCGTACTCTCGTACAGGCTGGCCGTCACCAGCGAACACGTCATATAAACAATGGATACCTCTTACTGGGACAACTGCCACTTTTAAGCCCAGGGGGTAGTATAGGATATACATAACCGAAAATCCCCCAAATAAATTGTCGCCATAGATGTCTAATTTACCTCCCAGAAATTGTTTCAATAATCTTATGCTATTGCAACAGAAAAGCGCACCATAAATAAAAAAGGGAAATTTACATAGTTACATTTCTTACTTATTTATAGTTCATTTTATTTTTTATGTTCATTTTTACGTTATTATAGAGGTTTATGTTTTATTATAATTTTAGGTTTCTTTTTAGTTTATTTAGTTTAGTTTATTGTAGATTGCCTTTGCTTAGTTAGTTTATTGAGATTTTAGTTTATTTCCATATGTGGTCTAAATAATTATTCCTGCTTTTTTACGTTTATCAACTTTATTTTTTATATATATTTATATTTCCTTTATCCCGTATTGCCCTCACTGTATAACCTTTATTATACACCCTGTCCTGTATTACAGGAAGATGGGGTTTTCGTGTGCTGATCCGGGAGGTAAACTGGATATCTACCCTTGTCGTACATGGAAGTGCTTCGGAATTGCTCCCATGTGACATTCACTTTTCGGTAGGACACAGTACTAGGTATCACTGTACTGCAGGTGGCATTGCGTTAAGGGAAGGGCAGAGGACGGTTAGGACACCGGAACAGATACCTTACCCAGACCATCCGCAAATTGGAGG